GCATTAAGAGGAATCTCAGTGGTTGAATACATGATCATAAATAATGCTATACCCAAATAAAATGAAAACATTTATACCAGCGATTCTCAACCAGTGGTAAAAATCTGTCATAAATGATGTTTTTAAAAAGAGTAACAAAAATAAACGTTGTATTTTATAGCAAATAAAAATAAGTTCCTATCAAAAGATAATAGTATCTCATTAATTCTTTTACAGCTGATCGCCGGGCTCATGTTGCTCTATTTACAACTAGATTTTTCTTTATTTTTTATTTTTTTATTTTTTTTTTTACGTCGATTTGTTGTCGCTAACAGCAAGCATTTTGTTTTCTCGTTGCTTTGTTTCTTACGTTTCTACGCGATTTGAGAATATCATACTTTGTTTTTGAAGAATTCTTAATATATTGTGCATTTAAGTATTTGTGAAAAAACAATGAAACGAACGTAGAAATTCAAATTTTCCTCTGTGTTTCATAATTTGAATTGCAAAATTATTTGTTTAGTGAGTTAAGGTTGACGCATTTAGCATATTTAGCTAATATTATCGGAAAGTTTAATGAATTAAATTTAGGATTATAAGAGCAAAGTGTTAATTATTTGGTTTTACTCTTAGAGATAAAATAAATGCGATCATAAAAATACTCGAGCTAATAATCAAAGAATTGGTTACTAATATTTTAAACTTCTTATCAGTTTTAGAAAGTTTTCTAAAGAGGAATTAGTATTCGACATTAAACATCATTATCTTCCTTTCATAAATAATTTCAACTTGCATTTTCTCGAGGGTTGTGGAAAAGAAAATTGGATTAGAAATCCATTTTATTCAAATGTATCTGAAATTTTATCCCTTGAAGAAAAAAACAATTTATAGAGATTTCCAGTGATCGAACTCTAAATGAAGATTGCAAAAATAACGGACTTGTTAAGTTTTGGCTGAATCGCAAAAAGAATTTAACGCATTTCTAATAAAGCTATTAAATATTTTTGCCTTTTTGCACAACCTATTTGTGTGAACAAGGATTTTTTTCCATGTTACATTTGAAAAATAAATACAGAACAAAATTAAAAGTGGACCTTAATTTACGGTTAAAACTAAGCGAAATAAGAGCAGACATAAAGAAACTGATCTCTCTTAAACAGGCTCAAATTTTACACTAAATTTTAGAATTAAAAACTAAATTAACACTAAATATTAGAATTAAAGTATTATAACTTAAATTTTGATAATTAAAATGGTAACCAATTTTTAGTGTAATATTTTTTATGTGTGCATATTTAATACAAATAACCATAGGTTGCGCAAATGGCAAAATATTTTTTAATATTTTAAAAATATTTCTATCGAGAAATTGAAAAATAATCATTATAAAATTTAGAAGGGGTACTAAAGATTTTCAATTATTGTTTAGATGATACGCTTTAGTCAAAGGATTGAGATCCGCTAATCTATACTACTAAAATATGTTTGCGTCTGTCTAAATGGTTGTTTGTTTGTAAGAACATCTTTTCTGGAACAGCGGAAAATCGAGACTTCAGCAAAATAATCCGTTTTTATTTTCACAAATATTCTTGTAGCTATAGACATAGAAAAATCTGTCATAAATTATGCAAAATAAACACGCTTTTAAAAATTCTTGGGAAGCCATTTCGACCATCGGACGATTTTAATGAACTGTGATATTAATTAAAAATTGTGAAAACGCCAATTTGGCAACAGAAAATTTATTTACGAATTGGTTGTTGCGAGTTGTATGAGATATTAATTATATGTTTGACGCAAAAATTCTGAAAACGTTAATCTGGAAAAAAAAGTATTTACGAATTGGTTGTTGTAGGTTGCGCAAGGTAATTATATATTGCGAGATATTAAGTAAGAACTCTGAAAACACAAATTTGGCGCTCTCCGATGTAAATTGTTTGTAAACCTTAACTAGAAAGATTTCTAAATTCAGACTGGAAATTGTATTTTAAATCTGTATTATATGTTATTTTATAAGCTGTCCATTATTTAATAATATCAATACACAAATACTATAGTTAACACATACCAACACATAATACCAATATATTCGAATACACAATAATACCAACTTCCATTCACTAATACAATTTAAAAAGGAAAAAAAAAAAAAAAAAATCTGAAAGCTTTCATATTTTATATTACACCCAAAGGGGGCGTTTTTTTAGCGTTTTGTGGGTTGCCTTTATTTGTTAAATATGATGTTTTTCGCTCTTAAACCATAAAATTCAATTCAACGGCAATATCGCAAAATAATTTAAAAAGAGCACATCTTTAGAATTTCCGATGCACAATATCGCGCACTGGAGATAAAAATGCTTTTTTTCCCCCTACAGTGTTTCCACTGCTAGCTTTGAAATCGTTGAGTTTGTTAATCAAAAGTTCGTTAAAGTTTTACAAAATCTGAAATAGATAATAAAACAAAATTCCAAATTTTACATTTGGGCTTATACATGCTCATATTCGACTGGACGACTACGTTATTCAAAATTTGATGTCTTAAGATACCGTTTTTTTTCCCAGTGCGAGAAACATATATACATTTATGCAGATTCTTCATTATTTAATTTCTCTAAATATAATGCAGGCCTCTATTATTTGGTGGAAACAATTTGAAAAGTGAAACGTTGTTTGTAGTGAACCAACGCAAAATGCCAAAACGAAATTAATAACCCTTCTGGGCAAATTGCCCCTTTGGGCTAAAAATTATGTGAAGCATCAGTCCTTCATGGAAATTTGGGATACGCCTTTGAATTTGAATTTTATCCCAGCAACAGTTTTATCACATTGTCAGCTACATTCTTTCAACTGCTCAAACGTCGTACGAAGTGCCAAACAACTTTTAGTTAGAGAGAGCATAAATTCTGTACTGTAATACTTTCCCAACCTAACATCTGCTATCCCTGCGACATTTGAGTCATAGAAACTTAAAATGGACTTCGAGCTTTAAACTCATCAGTTCACCGTTTTCGAGAACCTTAACCCCATAAGATCAATATTACTGTAGCAAGTAAAGTGAAACAGTGGGCTTTCGTCAGCAACAGAATTATAATCTCTCAAGAGCAAAAAAAGAGCTAAAAAGAGATGCTCTCATGGACTGGAAGTTATCTTTGCTGGACTTCGCTTGACCCAAACTTCTGAAAGGATAGCAAAGCAGGTGTAACTGGTTCCCAACCAGACAACACTTTTAAAAGAGAGGAGAAATAACCTCGTGCTTTGCACGTGATGAACACAAACAGACTTGGATCCACGGCCAACTGCGAGACGCTTCTTCACAAGCACCGTTTTCAGGGTAAGTGAATCACCGTGATCTTGGATGCGATCCAAATACCGTTGAATGTGTAGATGAAGGATATCTTCTGTTTACAAAATTTCAGCCGTGTTAGCTGATGGAAGAGATCTGCAAATGGAAGTGCTACACGTGCTGAAGAATGAGATGGGTGTACCTCAGCCGAATGCCCCGGAACTTAGATAACGTAAGGTTTTTAGTTAACCGCCTAATGAGGCGCAACGTAGAAAAGAAAACTGTCTGTCTGAGATGCACAGAAGTGAGTTGTTTGCAAGGGAAACAATGCCGGTATTCTGGTTGCTCATTGGCTGAAATCTGAACTTTGAAGAATGTGTAATTCATAAAGAGATAAATTAACCTCAGAAATTCTATTCGCAGTATACGTACTGTAATATGTTAGTTGAGATAGTTAAGATTTCAAAATATCCAACAGCAGCTAATTATCGTAGTTATTGAACGTGTTGGTGACTATGACATTGTTTATTTGTTGTTATTGTTGACTAACGCTCACTTGTCTGACGTACAGTCAGCCCAAGCCCACGGCATACCTCGTGCGAAGGAGCGCAAGATACGCCTGGCAGCAGCCTTGAGCACATTACAAGTGACAGTGCGACTTAGCTCAGTTCCGCCCCCAATTTTGATGGAGAGCACCGCGGGGAGACGAGTCCGAGGGTCTCCTACCTCTCTTTCCCTACCATCAACCTCTCGAGAGAACTTTCGGCTCGCCGGAGATTTAGAGTGCCCCCGTGTCGCACGGGAGCTCTACATATTTACAAACATCTATGCCTTCTCCGGGATTCGAACCCGGGCCCTTCGGCACGGCAGTCAGCGATGCTAACCACTATACTAGTTGAACTGCAGAATTCTTTGTTGGTCATTATACTGCTTTCCATTAAAAACCGCACTGCAATATAATGCCTGCCTCAATGTCCTTGCACGCCACAAACCTCTTCGGTTCACCATATATTTAGAGTGCCCCCATGCCGCACGGGAATCGAACCCGGACCCTTCGGCACGGCAGTCAGCGACGCTAATCACTGTTCCGGATGGGAGGCGACATTGTTTATTCTAGACAGAATAAGGCCCATCAGCGCCGAGCGGTAAATTCGCTGAACACTGGTAGTTTGATCCGGGATTCGAATCCCGGCAAACGTGCTGGCTGTATGGGCGTTTTCTTGATTTTCCGGCATCCCTGTGCTTAGGCAGTTAGCCCTACTTTTGTTTTATCAAATAATCAAATAAATAAATAAACCAAACCAAACCGTCTAGACAGAATACAAACATAATAATAACAATAATAATAAATACTTGTCATTCTATGACTTACTTTAATTCTTTCGCCTAAAATAAAAACAATATATTTTAGGTGATTTAATTTTCGCATAATACACACACAGAAAAAATCGTGATTTTAACCTACCTATCAACTTATTTGGAAGTAGAACTACGAAAACGTCGTTCAAAAATAGCTGTCTTAAAAAAAAGGAAGTAGAAAATCAAAAGTTTATTACTGATCTGTTTTAGACTTTGAGGATATGATGACTATTTATGTACGCACTAATGTACACTAATCGAATCAACGAATGGCGCTGCCTACGCATCTAACTATGAATCTAACGACGTATCTAAATGCCATATCTAAATTTCAGCAAGCGGTGGTTCGGTTATAATTCTATGATCAAATACTCAAATCTAGTTTTAAAAAGATTTATTAAAATACTAAACAAATTAATCTAATCTAGAATATAGAATCAAATCTAATGTTACATCTCATGAGCAGCATTCGAGCTGCGTCATAATCAAGTTCTCACTGTTGCCATTCCGAGGCAGAGAAAAGTTTGTTTCTAATCAAACCGGAACATCGGCAGAGTGAAAGTTTCTAGTCAAACCGAAACATCCCGGCCCCGTTGGAACGATTGTCCAACATCATTTGGAAATGGGAGTGGAATGATATTGGAGACGGCTCGACGAAAGATTCCTTCTGACGTCTACGACTCGTACTAGTCCATCTGGACCAGGAAAGGTCTCCTCAATGCAAACTAGTGTCCACTTCATGGGTGTCTTGTTTTTATCCTTTAACAAGACTAGTTGTCCTGCCTTGAGATTGGATTTCACTTGATCCCATTTTGAACGGTTCTGCAAATGATTAAGATATTTCACGCTCCAGCGGTTCCAGAAATTACCTCCAAATTTTTGAATTAAGGTCCATCTAGAAGACAAGGTCAAAGAATATACAGATTCATTTGGTTCTGGTATCGACAAAAGTGACTTACTTTAGCTTATGACTTACTTTAGCTCAGACTGTACTTTAGCTTATGTATATTCTATATTTGTGTGTATTACACCTTTGTAAAATTTTTGCTTATTGTCAAAACTCGCCCTTTTTGGCCCTGCATGCTTTTGTTATTTTATTTAATAAATGTGGGGCCTGGGCGGTTGTTGGGACTGTCTTTCGTGGGCATTTGGTCTGTTGGACTGCCCCGGGTTGAATTTGGCTCTGGGTTTGGCGCCCGGTGCGTGGCGTCTTGTGATTCCTCTTTAGGCTCTAGATATAGGTGGACGTGGTGCTATACCGATTAACCTTTTGGTAAAGGGACAGTGCCCACGTCCTCCGTTGCTTATCGCTTATCGACAAAAGTGAAGCTCCTATCAGGAAATGACCTGGAGTCAAAGGCTGAAGATCTGTTGGATCAGCCGAAATAAGTGACAGAGGTTGAGAGTTCAAGCTTCTATTTGTGTAATTAATGTATACAGCTCTTCAAAGTTTAAAAGTCGCGACCTTTGTCAAAATTCTCTTCATCGATCTTATATTAGCCTCCCATAATCCGCCAAAATGCGGGGAAGAAGGAGGAATAAATCTCCATGTTTATACCTTCTTCGGAACTAAAGCGCTGAATAGGATCCGATCTACAAATTCTAAGGAGTTTATCAAGAACATTCCTCGTTCCCTTGAAGTTCGTAGCGTTATCACTCCAAACAATGGATGGTTTGGATCGTCTGGCAATAAACCTTCTAAGACATGCTAGAAATGTTTCAGTAGGCAAATCCAATACTACTTTTAAATAAATGCCTTTGTACTAAAGCAAATAAATATCGCGATGCACGATTTTAAAGTAACCCTAGATCTTTTCAAATTAGGATTGGTGATAACTAGAATTGCAAAGTCCAGTCCTACTTTTTCGAATGGTCTGTTATTACAACTCTATCTCTAGGTAAGTCTCCCATCATTTGGTTTATGGTGTGGTTCCTTGTCCGAAAGCAAGTCATGCATTTATTTATAACGTGTCTAACTCTATCTTGTCCGGAAGGTATCCAGTATAATTGTCTAATAGGAGAAAGTGCTGTTTGAACGCCCAAATGATGAGATTTTTTGTGATAATAATCTATGAGTAATTTAGTGAAATGATGTCTTTTGGGTAAAAGAATTGATGTTTCTGGTCTTCTGAAAGATTGGAGAAACATAGTCTCCAACTCGTAAAAGTTCATCTTCATCGTGAAATACATTTAAGGATAAAACCTTACTATTACTTGGAACTGATCGTTTCGACTGCAGGCACTTAATTTCAGGTTGAAATTTAGAATGTTGTACACATTTGACTAGCACCTTTGTTGCATTCTGTAATTCAGAAGCACTCAAAAAACTTTCTTTTCTTAATGGTGGATTGATTCTATAGTTGTTCGCAAACCTTAAACACCACGCAATTGATTAGAACCTAGTTCTAATCAATTTGCTAAACGATGAATAACTTTTAATAAATTCGTCCTCAATAGAATTTTCACTTGTGACTGTTGAGTTCACTACAGCTACAAAAGATCCGTCCTTGCTCCCCTATACAGCTTTTATGTTAACTGAAAACAAAAATTTCCCCACATAGGATTTAAAATTGTTGTTACAACTCCATATTGTGCAAACTCAAGCATTGTAAATCTTTTCCCTACTTTTTGTAGGAGTTTCTGCTATTTTAGCATGACATGTACTTGTAAATATTGTATAAATAGTTGCCTTTATGTTTTATGTACTGTAATTCTGTAAAATGCTGTTTTTTCCCCATACCTCACGTGACAAAGGAGTCACGCCCTCATCAACTTTCATATTGTTCTCTAGACCCACTCAAGCATTTTTGTACTTACATTGCTCCTTGAAGCACCTATGTTACAGTAGCCGGTATTTGCATATTTAGCAAGCTAGATGCGACAACTGGAACTGGAGTTATTTTTAGTGTGTATCTGCCTATTCCAGGCCACGTTGTGCTGTGATTATTAGCGATTTGTGTTAGATACGTTGATGTGTTCTCACCATTAGGCTTGTCTCGCCGGTTTACTACAAACTGTTCTTCCTGCGCGTTAAATCTGTGAGCCAATAGGCTAATCAAAATTATTATTCGTTGCGTATTTCTGTTAAGCCAGAAGTGTTGGCTTCCTGTAACCCAATTTGGGTCATTTGTTATTTATTTTATGCTTGAATAAAAGGGTCTTAAACGCCCTTCTTCTGTTCTCTGTTTAGTTTCACAAGGCTAGAAGATAATTCTTCAAGAGTCCTTTTAAGGTATCTGCCTACGTTAAAAAAAACGATTTCGGCGAAACAATTCGATTTTTTTTAATTGCCCAGTTTGAAAGGTCAGTTTTGTAGGATTCCGAAAATGGTTCATTTTTACGTTTGTGATAATTAGAAGAGAAGATATAGCCAATTAACTGCACAGGGAGTGAAAACAGAAAGACCGGAAGTGCCATTTAAAAGGCTCAACTAAAAGGTAAACAATGTTGTTATCCGTGTTTTGTTTTTACGTGTTTGTGTATAAATTGTGCTAAAACATTTCATTTTAATTCTCTGTACTTTTTTTTTTTTTTTTTTTTGTTTGTTTCTGGCAATAATTATTTGCCTTAATTTTTTGAACTGGGACTGGCAACATTGCGGTTTTTTTAACTGGGTCTGGCAACATTGCGATTAGGTATAAAGACTATGTTGCTGGGTGCATATATAGCAGTTTTAATTTTTAATTCAGGGTATCTTGGATTACTTCCTGGATTCTTCTTGGATTACTTTAAACATTTAGGCATATCAATTGAACAAGAAATGATTAAAAATTACTTTGGAATTGATAACGAAAGAATAAAAAACTCGAAACGTCATTCGTCGCTCATTTCGAAAATAGCCATAAAAAATTAAAATCAAATAGGAAATCAAAATTACTTAAGTATAAAGATATGGAGGGTGTGATGTACAAATGTGGAGAATTTTAAGTGTGTAAATACAACAGAACAGTTTTTCTGTTAATGTGAAATTTTTAAATACGTTTTCTGGAAAACTAATTTTTCTAGTGTTTTTACATACAAGAAATGTAATTACTGAAAATGTTCTAAAGGTATCTCTATTAAATTTCACTAAAGTGTTTTCTATATTATTTACTAGGTTTTAAGCTACAATCTAAGTTATATTTATTAATTTGATTGTTTTATAAGTATTTCTATATAAAACGATAAGAAATATTTTACAAAAAACTGTGTTTTTTCATGTAATTACACATATTTTAGTAAATTTTAGAAATATCATAAACATTTTAGTTCATAACACAGATGAGTGTTGTAGTAGTATACAGTATAAATAAAATTGAAATATATGCTGTGGGAAAAAATATACGACATTTAACGTAAGTGTTAAATTCTCCTAAAAATGTGCATAAAATTGCATATATTTCAAACATTAATGAAAATATTCCTAAAAATTTACCTATTTTCATGATTTGATATCATATTTTGACTAAATAAATATATATTTCATCAGAATTCTATGTTTTTTTTAAAAAAAAGTGCTCCGAACGTAGGCAGATACCTTAAAAGCTTGTTCCCAAACTTCGTTTTTGTAGAAAGATTTTAAACTGAATGCACGTTCCACAACATTTCGTTCTAGACGTTCTAAATCCCTACTTTCGGGGCCACCAGCGGCCGAGCGGTAAAGACGCTGAACACTGGTAGTTCGGTCTGAGGTTCGAATCCCGCGAACGGGCTGGCTGCATGGGCGTTTTCGTGGTTTTCCCCATGTGTAACGTGTATACGAGCCAGTTTCTTAGAAAGTCCTCCACGAAAGGCATCCCTCCCTTTAGGCAGATAGCCCTCGTGTGCTTTGCCATAATTAAATACACCACCACACCACCTACTTTCGGGAGCAATTGACGCATGGTATAACAGCGCTCGTGACCTAAAGGCGATTTTTTTACAAACTCGCGTGGCAATCAACGTGTTAATTAAAAATGGAAATAAAAGGAAAAGTTTTCCTTATGAGCAGAAGGTAAAGTTTTAATGATTTTCTTTAGTTGGTTATAAAGCATATCAGTGATTTACAGCTCAATTTCATTCAGAGCCCACATATGAGAATTTTGACGAGAAAAATCATTCATTTACAAACGTAAAGACAATTTTTGACCACAGTGAAGATGCAGTGGACCACAGTCCGTATACTGAAGATATAAATTCAGTTTCTAGTCTTTTTTAACGTGTAATTACAACGTTCTTGTGAGACATTTTCCTGAGCTTTATAACTTCAAGAAGATTTGAAGCGAAGGTCAGCAACAGCAAAAAAAAATTGTATTTCAATGTCGTGTATTTTATCTGTCAAGGTTCAGAAATCGATTTTGCGTATCACGAAAACATCCTGTTCGATGTGTAAAAGCTGTTCACAGCTTTATCATTCTTAGATTCTCTTCACTTTCCTTATTATACATTGACACTTATCTGTTGTCGAAGAAGTTACTGAATGATATTTTAAGTACTTCTAAAGATAAGACATTCACGTTTGTTAACATGCCGTTGCGTACTACATGACGTTAACCGATGCCGTAATAATAAATGGGAATTAGCAAATAATGCTTGCATGTCAACGAATATTTTTAGGGTGTTCTGAAAAATCGGTGATCTTTCAAAAGCAGTTCATGGTTCAAAAAGCACTTTAAAATTGACATATTGGAATTCTAGATTAGAGATGGAAATAAGGATTTCGTACAAGTTTGAATGCTGATTACGGCCAAACTCGGCTTTAGTTCAAAGGTGATTTTCAGTTTAAAAGGTTAAATGCATTTCAGTATTCGTAGGATTTCAGTAAAGAAAAGTTAATATTTTATATTTCTTTGGGCCGCCTAGATGGGAGAAAGTGGTTAGTGAATTTGACTCCGTACTGAAGCGCTCAGGCTCGAATCCCAGAGAAGGCATGGAGGT